GAAAGTGAGCTGCTGCACTGAGCTGTGAACAGGGGCGCTGAGCGGTGGCGAGCGCAGGACATTGGCCCTGCAAACAGTCGCTCGAGGAGGCTTCTGTGACAGCCCATTCCCAATATCAAATGTGATTTTTTGTTTTCACAAGACATCAAGCATTTTTTTTTCAGTCTCTAATCTCCAGAAGCTAAATACTCTAATTCCATCAAAATACGGCATCTATTMGAACCTGCAAGACTGGATACTGGACTCCAGTGAGCTAAAACCAGGCAGTATGCAGAGTGTTCACCTACTTACTAAGGACTTACTGAGCGTTCTAAAAGCTGCTGAAAGAGAGGGTTCTGAAATTCATCGCTTACCCTGAAACTGGCAATCTAGCATTGTTCTCAAAGACCTCTTTTTTAAACTTGCCTCCTGATCACAGGTTTCCACCGCAGATGGCATTAATTATGTAGTATTTGAGTACTTTCACAGGTTGTCCTGGTGTTCTGATATGAATTTCCGCATTTAATTTCAGTCCTCAGAGGTTACCTCAGCCTTTTAGTTGCTATCAGGAAACCAAGATAAAGGGGGATCATTTGATTTCTTTTTTTCCCCACCTCCTCAACCCGGAGCCCACAGAAATGCATGAGGACCCAGTTGCTCTCTCCTTCATCAGCAGTTTGAAGTTTTAGTGGCATTTTGCTTTAAAGTTAGTCATATGCTGACAAGGAGTTACAATTATCAGCCCTGCTGGAGTTACAGAAATACATCCTCAACATCAAAAGATTGTTTTCTTAAATGATAATTAATGTCTCCATGGGTGAACTGTTTCATAATTTAACACAGTATGAATTATTTTGCTCTACATAAATAAGTTGAGGCTCTATGACCATGAGGACCTCTGCCATTTCTAATTAGTTAAGGCATCAGTATTAATTCTAAATTAGCTAATTATGCTTGGGAAAGTAAATTAATCCAGAAGAATCTGTCATGTATGCAGGTAAAGAAGCTGATCCACATTTTATTTTTGTCGACACGTTGCTTCCTACAGCAACGTTCAGTAAGGCACTGAGGTTGAAGACCCGTCCCACAATGTCTGTTACATAAACGAGGCCATGTTTTCCTTTTAGTTATACTTCGGTCTTTGACCCACTTGATTTAGACAWGAGTGCAAGTTATTTTAGGGCATTTGGATTGTCATTCAAAGTGAGAATTTGTTTACAGCAATGAGACCTGTGTAAATGTGTTGGGTTTTAGGGTGCCAGGACGTCCATGCGTGCACGTTGTTGCCCGTGCTCTCGGAAGCAGCAGAGACTGCCAGGCCCTGCCAGGAGCTGCGGCGGCGCCGGAGCCGGGCAGAGCCTTCCCACGGCAGCGGCTGCTGGACTCRTCCGCATCCCCCGGGTCCTGCCAGGCCCGCTCATCGCTGACATCCTCCCTGCCCTTCTTCTGCAAACATGCCAGGTGAGAACTGGGGGAAATGTTCTGTGTGACTCAAAAAGGCTTTTTTGTTGTTGTTGTTTTTCTCCTGTGAAGTTAATCACATTTGTCATTCAGTTAATCACATTTGTCATCAAGTGCTTAATAATATCCCGCAGTATTTTTGCTTTGCCATCTAATTCAGGAGCAAATAATAGTAAATCACTTTGTCCTGCTTCCCTGTCCAAGGTGGGACAGAAATGTAGGCCTTAGCTGCACCCAGGAGCTTAGAGTAGCATTTCTATTAATTACACACTGAAATGCCCATAAAAGTGATAAAAGTGCTGAATWAAAAAAAAAAAMACCTAGAAGCTACAGCGCAATGTGGCTTGAGTTTTTTTACTTTCTACTGTAATTAAAAAAAATACTTGGTAAAAGCTTGATGCTAGTGTTTTTCTTAATCAGGATAYGCATTGCTTTCTTAGTGCCTAGTGGCAATTGCATATATACGTATGTATAAATCATACATATAATTATATATCATAGAATCATAGAATCATAGAATGCCGAAGGTTGGAAGGGACCTCAGAGGTCATCGAGTCCAACCCCCCTGCTCACGCAGGGTCACCTAGA